ATATTTATAATCAGTTATAATCCTGGGATCTGCAGTTTAGGGTGAAGTATTTAAAATTCTCAGCCAGAGAGTTCTAGTGCCTCACCAAACTATAAATCAGAAGAGCGGTTAAAGAAAGAGGCTTTAAAAAAATGGATTGCAGATTTGACTCTGGGTTTTGGAGGTATCCTGAAGAAACCAGAGAATGCATGCACAAGCAAGCTGATTTTCCTCAGCTTTCATTTCTGGAACAAGGAATTTACAGAGCTGAAATATGTAATTCCCCAGACACAGAAATCATCTGTCTGTTAAAACTCTTCAAGTGTTTTTTGAAAATGTATTTGGAAGGGTTAATAGTATCTTGAATGGTAAGAACTGTTGCTTCTAGGAATGGAGGAAAGATAATTCAGTTTACACTTTGAAGTGCAAGGCACACTTGAAGAGTCAAGTGACACTTGACTTGCAACCTTCACTTGTTTTGTAATAAAGGAATACAAGCCATTGAAACTGAAGAGAGCAATTTAAGGAAAGCATCCATTTACTGGCTTGTGGATGGTGAATTTCTAGAAGATACGTATTTCCACTGAAATACCGAAGCACAATTTTTAAAAAGTGCCTTCACTTTCTTTTACTTTTCTCTCATCTTTTGTCCCATGTTGGCCTATCTGTCAGTGATTTTGGCCTGGACAAAACTTTGAAAATTTAGGCTTCCACCTGCCAGATTTCCAATTCAAATGCACTTGTTGTTATGTCCCTTCAAGTCGACTTAAGTTATAACAACTCTACATAGGGTTTTCTTGGCAAAATTTATTCAAAGGAGGTTTGCTATTGCTACTTTCATAGGCTGAGAGAATGTGACTTCCTCAAGGTCACCCAGTGGCTAAGCAGGGATTTGAATCCTGGTCTTTCAGAACCTTAGTCCACCACTCAAATCATTACATCGTACTGGCTCTAACTTCCCAGTAAATTTGTGTGGGAATGAAGCAAATTATGTTTCAAGGCTGACATCATACTTTATTCAGTAGAATGCTACTGATTAATGTTTCATAGGGTGGGCAAACTCTAATTCCTAGGAGAACATTTTAATTGGAGGACTGAGAATTAAAAGCATGTGACTTTATGTATTCAGTATTTTTGTTGTTTGCCCAGTTGGCAAAGGGGTCAGGCAAGGATGCATCCCATCACCCTGTTTTGTTCAACTTGCATGCAGAAAATATCATAAGAAGAGCAGGTTTAGACTCCAATGAGGGAGGAGTGAAGATAGGAGGAATATCAACAATCTTAAGTATGCAGACAATACCATATTACTAGCAGAAGGCATCACAGACTTGGAACAATTACTAAGGAAAGTCAATGAAGAAAGTGTAAAGGCAGGCTTGCTACTGAACTTAAAGAAAACAAAAATAATGACTACAGAGGGTCTGCACAAATTCCATCTGGATAATGAAGTGAAATAGTTAAAGACTTACCATATCTAGGATAAAACATTGATCAAAATGGGGACTATAGTCAAGAAATCTGAAGAAGACAGGAATGGGGAGGGCAACTATAAAATAATTAGGCTAAAGAGGAAAGATATACTACTGAGCGCTAAAGTTAGAATGATAAACCATTGTATCCCCCATCACCATGTATGGATGCAAGAGCTGGACAGTGAGGAAGGCAGATAAGACAAAAATCAACACATTTGAAATGTGGTGCTCAAGAAGAGTGTTGAGGAAATTGTGGACAGGCAAAAAGACAAATGGGTCCTTGGAACAGATAAAGCCAGAAGTTTCCTTGGAAGCCAAGATGATCAAATGGAAGCTGTCGTACTTTGGCCACATCATGAGAAGGCGTACTTCACTAGGAAAAGCAATAATGCTAGGAAAGGTAGAGGGCAATAGAAAGAGAGGAAGACCACATGTAAGATTCAATCAGAGAGATCATGGGCATGGATTCTGAGGAAACTAAGCAGGGAAGTGGGAGACAGAGGATATTGGGGATCTCATGAGCTGGAGCCAATTCAACGGCAGTTAACAACATTTTTTTTTTGTTCTTGTGTGTCTTCAAGTTGACCCCAGGGTGAACCTATCATGAGGTTTTCTCAGCAAGATTTGTTCAGAGGAGGTTTGTCATTGCCTTCCCCTGAGGCTGAGAGCATGTGATACCCAGGGTCACCCAGTGGGGTTCATGGCTGAGCAAGGAATTGAACCCTTGTCTTCAGAGTCATAGTCCAACATTCTAACCACTGTGCCACACTGGCTCTCCTATTCAGTATTTTACCACCACAACTACCATCACCACCAATAATAACTTTTCTAGTTAATTTTTTCAATATGCAAGTTGCTTAATTATATAACTACTTAATCAGTTAAGATCAGATGGTAAATTAAATAAAAATATTTAATTAGTTATTTTGTTTAGTATGATGTGTATCTATTTTAAGCTGCCTTGAATACCAGGACTTGAAAAAAGCAGTATATAAATAAGTCTTATCATTATGTGATTCCTAGATCCTCATAGTATCCAGATTACTTATGGTTACAATTACCAGTCAGTAATACCTAGTAGACTGTGAAACTGAAATGATGATGAGGATTATGAAGATTTAAAAGAGGAGTGGGAGAACTGTGTACATTGTCCAAGGGATGGAATTTTAACTCAAGAAGAATTTCAAAATATAAATGATCTGTAATACACATACATACACATTGCAAACATTTTTGTATCAAAGTCATTCTGATAGGTGGCCTTGATCAAGGAAAGCCCATTCACAATAAGAAAATGAGGTCTTCCCACACGCAAACAATTGCCTTGTATGCTCCTGCAAGCGATGTATTAAAAACACCAAATAAATATTTTGAATTAAGTGAGGCATTTCTACAGTCTTAATCCTTTTCACCATGAGAAGGGGACGCTTAAACCTTCCACACATCTACAATCACAAACCCAAGAAGGAGCCAAGGCTATGGGACTGGGATCACCTGATATATTATCTTGGCACTGGAAATCAACAAAAATTACAGCAACCTCACATTGTTAGCCATGGATATATTCTCCATTTCCTTTGCTTGTTAACAAACTCCATGATTTTCATTAATAAACCGGGAAAAATTAAACTGAAACAGTGTTCTGGGTGTTTCCTGGGCTCTTGATTTAATTTACTGAATGATAGTTTCTTTCATTAGAAGCATCCATTAACTGCTCAATGACTAACAATATGTGGATTTACTCGCAGTCAGGTTTCCAGATTCACACACACACACACACACACACACACACCCCAGCTGATATTATCCAGCACCCTATCTTGAAATCCCAGCAGACCCCAAAGTATACATGATTGTGGTAAACATTCAACTGCCATTTCTATCATAATTAAAACACATGACTCGTGTATTTCTTAGAACATCATAAGAGTACAGGCAGAACAGACTTACAGGACTGGGAATCTTTGGCCCTCAAGATATTTTTAACTGTAACTTCCAGAATCCTTTACCATTGGCCATGCTGGATGAATTGCTGAAAATATATTTTCAATGCAACAATTAAAAAAGCCCCACAAATAAGGCAGTGAATTCCTTCCTATACATGTGTTGTTGACCATGTCTATAGGACCTTTTCCTAGTTGATGATGATAAGAGTGCAACCTAACTATTCTTCTAAGAATTAGATTTGATTTGTAGTTCTCTGTTTGTGTATATTGAGAGAACTCATGCATATACAAAGCAACCATTTTCTTAACAAGGAGAGTCTTTCAGATAGTTCTTATTAATTATAGAAGCTGGGCTTGAATCTTCTGGACTACTGTCAAGTTGCTCACTGTGAGAAGGCCAGAGAGAAACCCTGCTGTGTGGGTAAACTGATGACTCACTTTTAATATCAGACAGAGCCAGGATCTCTAGTCCTGCCAAGTTAGCTCTACAGGGATCCCCGCTCCATCCCACTCACATTTCCTCAGAACAGCACTCTTTTTCAGCAAACGTTGCTTAAGTGAGGCCCTTCACTTTGTAAACAGAAATGTCCTATGAAATACTGTATCTCTCTGTGGACAGCTAGAGGAAATTATAAGACAATGAGATCTAAAGGCATGGTGGTATCAAGCATGGGGAAGACACTGCCCCAATTTGATTACATAATTGTAAATCTTTTCAAATACTACCTATTGTCCCAGAGCAGTTAATTCTGCATTTCCAGCAGATAGGCTTCAAGGGTTTCTTCTTTTTGTTTACTTGCTCACAAAACCAATGGTTCTATAGAAATTTAATTTGCAGTGCATCAGCCAAAAATTTATGCAACTCTGTCTATGTGGTTCTGTGTTTTGACATTAGGACTTAAGTCATCATGCTAGTTGGAATTTTTTTATGGGTTTGTTAGACACATTTATTGGAAATCCCCCAGTCTCAGCTTGACAGAATATAGGACGTGGAGAAGTCTCTTCCAGGGGCACAGGCTCACCTTTGGCAGATTTGTGTCCCATTGCAGCACAAAATGACAACTCATATATTTGTTGTCATACAGATCAAAAGATGCATGTCAATTGGCCTGACAGCAGAGCTGAATATATAGTCCTGCCTAAGTAATGCATCAGATTTCCTGTTAGTGAAGACAAAACGCTTTCTGTTTAAGCCTACAAAACGTCTCTGAAGAGGGGCCTCTATTTAGTTATGAAGGTCCACTGCCAAACTGATTGTGAATTAAGTTGTGCATTCAGAAATGTTCAACAAATCTCTCCCTTTTGTAACAGCTACAAGCTTTTCTCTGACATGGAATCTTCATCTTTCACATGCCCTCTGACATTTTGCAGATGAAAACACAGGGATGTGTGGTCAAGCAACACCAGAGTGTGGTCAAAATAGCAAAAAAATATTCATGGGGAAGAGCACACAAGCTAGGAGATACTGCAGCAGTTTGCTTTTGTATGTGCCTTCAAGTCACTGTAGACTCATAGCAAATCAATGAATTTCATAGAGTTTGATTAGACAAGGAATACTCAGAGATGGTTTTGCCAGTTCCTTCCTTTGCTCTTGATATTCATTGGCAGTCTCCCATCCAAGTACTAACTAGGGTTGACCTTGCTTAGCTTCCAAGATCAGACAGGATCTGAAGCCTTTAGGATATTTAGGTGTCAAAATTCATCTATTCTGTTTGCTTACTAATCACATCCTCTTAACTATGCTTACACACCACATGCTGCAAGAGTGGAGTAGAGCTGCAGCGGTGAAAAGGATGGCTTTTTTCCATCCCAAAAAGGAGCGGCACTGGATCAGGGCCAAAGCATGCAGTTGTCGCAGTCCCAATCTAGCGCTCAAAGGGGTGGCACGGAGCCGCACCTTTGGGATGGTCTGCTTTGCCCCCGAGACCACACAGGGGCTAAACAGACTGCCCTTTTGGAGTGGTGTCCTGATGCCCCATTCAGCTCTGGATTGGGGTTGCAGCAACCACATGCCATGGCTCCAATCTGGTGTTTTTTGAGCGTAAAAAGGGGGAAAGTGTATCTTTGTTGCCGACACAGCACTCCCCACACCCATTCTTCAGTGCAGCACATTTAAATGCTGTACCAAGAAGCAGTGTGACGTCGCCCACCAACTGGTCAGGAAGGCACCAGTGTCAGGGCAGCATTGGGCCATGTAGTGTGCCCCCACTCTGCCCCAATGCCAGCGTTTAGTGCCAGTCTGTTCAAGACCCTAGT